GTGCGTGAGCAGTTCACTCACGCCTGTTGGTAAAAATTAAAAAACAATGGCCAGCCGGGTCAAGCTTGTGACCCGGCTAGGCCTGCTGGGTCCAGCCCAACTCTATGGGTTGAGCTGGGCCTAACTCAACAAAAAATAAAAATAAAAAATATAAAAATAAAAAATATGAAAATAAAAATATGTATGCATGAATAAAAATAATATAAATTTATTGGTTTATTCACTGACGCGAGAGTCAGGAATAAAAATACCAATTTAAATTTATATTATTTTTATTCGTTGTATTTTATTTTATTTAGCTAGAAAAATAAAAAAATATGTGCACGCGTAAAAAAAATTTACTTTTATTTATTTATTCACTGATACTAGAGTTAGGAATAAAAGAAAAAAAAGATGATTTAAATTTATTTATTTTGATGCCTACGTAATATTTACCATCGCCAAAGTTGGAAATATCCGTAATTGAATATTCACTGGCGCCAGAGTCAGGAATATTACACACAAACAATCATAGTATAAACCAACAAAAAAAAATGTTAGCAATTAAGGACAAAGATCAGCAATGCAACCTGCCTTAGGTAAGACGTTTAAGGGGTGATAATATCTTTCCTTTTACGTAACCAATCTCGAACCATAGAATCTCTGTTGACCAGTTAGGGTTCCTAATAACCATAATACTAGGTGACGACTCCTTAAACAAAGAATATCCTCATTAAAGAACAGGATGCCAGAAATCCGTTCTTTCCAAAGATTTAAGAAATTTTTAAGGCCGTCATGATGTCGGGTGCGACAAAATGGACAATTGTAAGTTCTAGAAAAGATATGGAACGATCAAAACTAATCAGCTCCTTAAAAATACGATAAGAGAAGATCTAACTATTTAATCGAGCTCAAATTTTTATAGATAATTTTATAGGAATTTTTTTTAGGACAATCACTATATCACTAAACAAATCGTCAGATCTTCCAAAATCATGTTTTGAGCACTGTAGCTCATGATATGGTAGTATTTAGTATTTCTACTATGTTTTTTTTTTATATTCTATATTTTAATTCAAATTTTAATTTATTTTTTTATGTTTTCAGATTCTTAGTTGTTTTTTCAAGGAGGTTAAGTTTTCTAATCTATTTAAATGTCTTATAACCTTTTAAGAAAGCACCCATCATATATTTTATTTTTTAAATAATAAAATTATAAATTTAGAGTTTATATTTATAATTCTCTTAGGACATTAAATTTTTATGTCTTTTACTTATAATTTTGTTGTTGTTATTATTGAGTGTAGCTCTTGCCTGTATCAATACCCCTTACTTATATATTCATTAACAATATTACTTGAAAATGTGATAATACTATATCATTTTCAATACTTGTTTTGCTATTATTTACCTAGTTTATTGTAGCTATAAAAATGTTTATTAATCAATTCAATAAAAAATTAAATTTAAATATATTATCCAAATTATTAATTAAAGGTTGTTAGATGTGGGTGAAATTATTATTCCCATGTAATACCTTCACACTTCAAAAAAAAGGTTTAATTGTATTTATAGTCATTGTATGAAATACTCTTGAATTTTTCTTAATATGTGCCTTTTACATATTTTTTATTTAACTAGGTCCTTTTAAGCTATAAATTTTTTGTAATATGATACGTTTAATCATATGTTTTGTTTTTTGATTAATGTGAGTATCCTGATCAGCTTGCGCATATCTCAACTTATTCCATAAACCCTGAAATTAACGACTATATAAATCTCTAGTGGCCCTGAGATTTGTAGGATTCGAACTAGTGATCTCTGGGGAGTAAACTTAGGACCTGATCAATTGAGCTACACCTCTTAAAGTTTAATTATCTATTTTTTAATTAAATGGACCAGATGATATTTTCTCACATACACCCTTGACCAGGTGTTATTAATCATTTCATCATCTATTAATCAACTGATTTAAACTGGATAGGTGGATTGTGTTTTGCCGTGGGTGGGATAAAATAAAATTTTAAACAAAAAAAAAGATGTTCATACGTTATTAGCATGTTTTGAAAAGTATGACAAATTTACGATTTAGATCATAGACCAAACATGATCCAATAAATTGATTTTCTTTTATTATATAATAAAAAATCAAATAAAATAAATAACCTAAATTTAAAAAAAAAATATAAATGGACTAAAGCAAAGTGATCTTGAGCTTAAGTCACACATGTGTACTCGCTCAGCTAGGCTCAAGCTCATTTATGAATTTTGATAGAGAATATCTAAGAAAACAAAGGATATGTTATTAACTTATTATGTTACTAAAATATAATAAAAATCATAAAAACAAATTTAGATTTTGTATTGAAAAGTGTACGTGAGACTTGCTAGATATAATAAGAAAATCCTCTATTTACAAAGAAAATAAACTTATTGGGTAAGTTAAATGCAAACTTCGACTTGAGTTGTTACACTAAAATAACTTTATAAAAAGAAAATTAATAAAAATAAATAAAATACAGTGTCCAATTCCTAACAATCTAAATATAAAAAGATGAAATTAAAAAAAATAATGAAAAGAAAAAATACAAGCAAACCATTGTAAGTTTATTAAACTCCATGAGTTGGATAATGTGAATAGCATATCCTAATAGAAGAGGGGGAAAATATGAGATTTAATTCTAAAACTAATTTAATGTTGAAATAAAAAAAAACCAATCTTAAAAAAAAAACAAAAAAAAAATCCTAATTGATCTAAGCTAACATGCCAAACTCGTGATATAAGTCATGAGACTAAGATAATCTCATAAAAAACAAAGAAAATCACGAAACTAATTTTTTAATAAACTTAATGTTAAAGGATGAGATTGAAAAAAAAAATGTAATTTTTTTTTAAAAAAATACTGATATCAACTCATGTTATCCTTTTAAATCTATGATCTAGATTATAATATTAAAATTACCCCATAAAAAAATAACAAAACTAAGGTTATGATATTGTTGTTTCTTTTACATGGCAACACAAATTACAAAGAGAAGTAAGAAAAAAAAAAGGAGAAGAACAAAAAAAAGCCTCACTGCGTTTCCATTGTATGTTATAACCCTCTTTAACCTTACTTTTCAACATATTTTTATTTTAAAAAAATATCTTTTCAGTACAATTTAGTTAATATATAATATTTTTGGCATTTTGGCTTATTTTATTGTGCGATGAGTTTTTATAAAAAAATAAAATGATAAGCAAAAGAAAAAAGAGAGAGAGACGAAGACAAAAGCATTTGGTTTAGGCAATCCCATGTATAACAAATACATTTTATTTTTCAAGAAGCACTAATTTTAGATTTTTTTTTCTTTTTTCTTTTGCCTTTTTAAACTTATAGCTCACCTCAATAGCCTCTCTCTTCAATTTCTTTCGAGCCTGTCATTGATTCTCGACTACATGTAAAAGAAATAGAAACATCTGTAGCACATGCCAAGCTACATGTCAAGTATTAATAGTAAATCATATGTGTAGAGACCATATTAAGACATTATCTTGAGTTGAGGGACCAACCAAATAAAAAAAAGAATAGAAGGGCCATATTAAGTAAAACATAAGAGCATAGGGACCAAATAAAATACCATTAACCCCCTTTATTTTATTTTATTTTTAAAAACCCACCTAAATAACACACCCCAAAACGCCCATTTCCTTTCAATTTTCATTTTCAACTGCTTAGCGCGCTTCTTAACTACCTTTTTTCTCGCGCTCTCTCTCTCTCTCTCTCTCAGGTATATTTCTCTGCTGCCTTCATTGTCTAGCTAAAAGTATCTCTTGTTTCTTGAACTGATTAATTCAACATCAATGATTTTATCTTTCAGTTCTTATCATTTTTCTTTCTTGTTTTCATCATCAACGTTCTCTTTTCTTTTGTTATATAATATATGCTATTTTCCTCAGTTTCTTTAGGGTTTACGTTACTGATTCTTGAACTTTGTTTTTGGTGAATGCAACCAAGAACTGATATAATTTCACTGTTCCAATGTTTCTTTACCATTTTTGTCTGGTTTAATGAAATGGGTCTTGGTCAAGTTTCTTTATTTCTTGTTGTTTCCTGGTTTCTTTGCCTATAAAGAAATGGGTTTGGTTTAGTCTCTCGGTTAAATTGCCTTAGTTTCTTTATTGGTTTCATTGTGTTAATTTATAGATAATTATGTCGGATTTCACATTGTATATGGATTATGCTGAGTTTCTTTTGATCTTATGTTATTTTTGCATAATAGGTTTTTGAAAAAAATATCACATTCTATTGTTAACTTCATGTTAGATCAGAAAGCTTTTGTTTTGAATCTCCATTCTGTTTTGCCTTTTGCCTTTTGCCTAGTTGGTTGTTGTTTTATACTCTTGTCTTTGATTTCGTGTTGTATTGCGGCCAATTCTTAATTAGTACTGCATTGGTTGCAGAATTCTAACGTTGGAGTTGGTTATTTTTGTGCCTTAAAATATGTTGTTTTGTTGAAAATCTTGTAAAGATTGCACATTTAGGAGCTTTGATTAGATAATGTGAATTGTGCTATCGGTGGTGACATATACTGTCTCATGTGTTTGGACTGGCTTTATTAGATATCAAGTGCAAAAGAGGAGCAACGGGTTGATTCTTATGGTTGCGCTGGTATTGCAAGGGGATGTGATATTGATTCTCCATGTATGGAGCATGCTGAAAAGAAGAAGATGAATAAAATGAAGACTGTGTCAGCCAAGAGGGAGATTGATAGTCCGTCATCAAAAAGTGATGAATTTCCAAAGCAAGATGTCTCCTTGACATCTGAAGGTTCCGTTTGTACAACTGAAGCTTTATTTGATTACAGCAGTAAGGATACAATCTGTTTTAAGGGTTTAGATCTGGGCAAAAAGGGTACTGAAGGAGCAGGCAGCAACCATATTACCAGGAATTTAGAGGAAGCTTGTAAGACCATGGACATTAAATCTTACTGCAAAGTTTGTGGCAGTCGAAGTACCAAATATGGCTGCCAGTGTTTTAATGTCGACAATGTTGATGTTATGGTAAAATCTGATGTTGCAAACAATGGCTATCACCAACAAATCTGGAGGGCAAAGAAAAATAGTCCATTGAACTGGCAGAAGAGGCAGAGAATTTTCAGGGAGGGTAAGTTGCATTGGGAAAGTAGATTGGATTGTGCAAACATGAAGGAGCATATGAGCTTGCGAGAGAGAAATTTCTGTTCACGACAAAACTCATTTGCTGATAAAGGGTTGCTACCCACACCCATGGTTTCTTCTGCTGGGCACAGCAATGCTGCCTGTGTAAGCAACAGGATGGCAAATGCAGAGAGAAAAATGCACAGGGGATTCAATAGTGAAGTATTTTTTCAAAATGACTGGGTCCCTAAGCATAGGTTGAATGGGAATCATTCTCAATACTTTTCACAGTCAAATCAAGCCCAGGAAATTGAGTGTAACAAATCAAGATTGCTTTCTCATTGTACATTTGAGTATGATAGAAACCACAGTAGAGGAATAGGATGTGGAGGTTATGGCCAAACTTTCTCTAGGCCTATTTTCACTCATGGTTCATGCTGCTTAAATCCATCTTCAGCTGCTTCTGCTCATATACATCAAAGATTTACTAGGTTTATTCCTAGGATGAAACATGTGACAGAGAGGTGTTCCGATACTTCTGTAGATGGTAAACTCCATTCGAGATTGATATATTACAATCAATACAGAGAAAGGCATTTTATTCCTCGTGGAGCAAAAGCAATGTGGGTTCCTGTTTGTACCAAGGATTCAGTGATGCCAGAGAAAACTTATCCTGCTAGTGTTTGTGATTCTTATGATATCCTGCAATTTTCATGCAATGAGCTGCCTGATAGCCATTCAAAGGGAGATGTGGTTCCTTCATGTGTTTCTTCTTCTTTAAATGATTCTAAAAGCTCAAGCTTGACATCCAGTCACAGAAAAACCTCTGTTGAAGGGGAAGCCCCAAAATCTGAAGAGTTTTCTGCAGAAGCTCAGAAAGTTGAAAGTGCTATGGAAGATATGGCATGCACTGAAAAATCCAGAGGTGTCTCTCAGTTCATTGGGTCACAAGTGAGAAATGAAGAATCAAATGCTGCTCAAAAACTGCAACTAGAATATCAGAGTACATTGGGCCATCCAATAGCAGAGTTTGAAAGATTCCTTCACTCTGCTGCTCCTGTTATCACTTCCCCTTGTATATATAAAAATGAGCTGTCAAATAGTTCTCTTCATTCGACACAGATACCAATTACATCACTTCAGGCTGTTTGGAAGTGGTATGAGATGCCTGGGAATTATGGGTTAGAAGTCAAGGCAAGAGATTCTCAAAGTATAAATGGTTTGCTTGCTGGATCGACATCATTCTGCGCATATTTTGTTCCTTTCCTTTCAGCTGTTCAATTATATGGTTACCCACATCTCTCAGATGCTTGTCCAGAGGATCTGCACACAAACCCTGAACTCATTTTCGAATTTTTTGAATCTGAGATGCCACATGTTCGAAAGCCTCTTCATTTAAAGTTAGTTTTCTAATTGCTATTTTCAATCTTGTCTATGCTATTATTGCTTTCATCTGGAAGCAGCAACTTTTTATAAGTTCCTGTGAACTTCTTCAAACGCAATCAGTTAATTAATGTGGATGCTACTCGGAACCATCAGCAAATGTGGCTAGCTAGTTTTCCTTGTTTAGCTCCTTTTCTGCAATTTTCTATTGACAGAAATTGCATTCAAAGCTACTATGGTCAGACAACAGCATGCCTAATTAGAATATTCTTTGATATGCAATGTCATGTCTACGTGATGAATGGATGATTTATAGCTGATGCCAAATCACTGAGACTTGAGGCTTTTTTTACTTTAGAAACGATCATTTAATTTGCCTCACTTTTGGTTGCTTTCCTCTTCTTGAACAAACATCCTGTTTCCACACTCCACTACATCCCCAAAAACCTTCCAGTGAGATGCAACTGATCTTGTGTTATAATTGCAGAATCAGGGATCTCATCAGTATCGGAACTTCTAATCTTCAAGTGTTTGGTGATCCATCAAAGCTAGAATCTATGAACCTGCATGATCTACACCCTGCTACTTGGTGAGAACAGACAAAATCATATAGTTCTTGTTATCTTTATTGCTCATGCAAGGGCTAACTTTTATCATATTCATCAATTCTGGATAAATGATTTCAGGTTTTCAGTTGCATGGTACCCTATATATCGAATTCCAGAGGGAAAGTTCAGTGCTTCATTCCTGACTTACCATTTATTAGGTCAATCAGTTGTGCAAAGCATTCCAATTGATTCACTCAGTAAGATGTTTCAGATTGTCTTCCCAGTGATAGGATTACAAAACTACAATACACAGGTAAACTACTATACAATATGAACTCAAAACATTCTGATGATTTAAGGTCCAGATTGTACTTCTACATGTAGAAATGATTGCAGTCAGGGATTCATGTCATTACTTCATCTGATTTTCCATGGTCTTCATTTCTGAACAATGACATGGTCATTTTAAGTAGTTGATGAGAATTTGGTTGAATTGCTTGTATCGAAAGACAAGATTGATTGACATGTGGTCTGATAACGTTCTTTTGTGTATAAGGTGATTAGTTCTTTTATATTGTGTAGTTTCGGTTTATGATACTTGTCTTTGGTATATGATAATGCTCTAAGAATGGTGTATTTTGGTGGGAGCCTACATTCCCAATCTGCCAAGACTTGTATGGAAGAGGCTGATTGATACCTCACATTCTTGTATCTGTAGGGCGAATGCTGGTTTGATCTCAGAACACCTGATGAACCTTCTTCAAGAAAAACCATCAGAGCTAGAACTGCTGCAATTCTCTGTGAAAGACGCAGAACACTGGAGGAAAATGCCTCACTTCTCTCTAGAGGAACAGTTACCAAGGATAAAGCCAAGGGGGTTAATCAGCATCCAGATTACATGTTCTTCACTTCTCGGAAGAGCTAGGTTGCTCCTTCCCGCATCACATCTGACACTGTACTGATTTCTGGAAAACAAAAGGCATCATGTTTGTTTAGCAGAGATTTTCCACTGTAACTGTAGTTGATTTCCCTATAACATGCAGTTTAGCATAGATTTTCCACTGTAAAATTAGAAATCACTCTCCATTTCGAGTGGCTTTACATTCCAAAACTTTTTCCTGATTGAATAATACCTGCTGTATATTGCATCTCCATTTGCCGCAAACATATGATGTTACTGTGTCTGTATTCCACCCATCTTATATCTCTTTTCCTATTTCCCTCAATTTCTTTGCCCCTGATAGCATGCTGATGCCTTGCCTCATAGGTCTTCTGATTGTAAGTGTTGAAAAGATAATACATTTAGTAAATCAAATTGTTAAATTTGTTCCACTTTAAATTTGAAGCCCATTTCTAGTCATGTATTCCGGGTCAATGCCTGTCAATTGAGGGCATCTTCCTTTCAATTCTTGATTGTTCTTGTTCACCCTGTATTGCACTTAAAATGAGTGGAATACGAATGCTTTGTAGACTAATTCACAAGGTGCGAATGATATGCATGACCTGAAATGAAAAGGCTAGAGTGTCTTCTGTTCGGAAGTCTGTAGTCATCAGAAGAAGCCAAATCCAATGCCATTGCTGATTTTTAAGGTCTTCTGCTGCACACACACACAACAGATTCTTGGTCCCAAGTCCTGGCTCTCTTCAACTCAGATAACCTATTTTTAACTCTTTAAATTCCAAGAAAAAAAGAAATGGAATTCTTCTTACAGGCATTTGGGTGGGATAGACTTTTAATGTTAGAATCATCATAGGTGTGTGTTAGGACCATCCAAGTCTTTTCTCATTAGTGTGCTGGAACCACTGCAGACCAAATATTAGATCATTTGGGTTCAGGGCAAGTTCAGGTCAAGAGAAATTTTATGGTGCGTGGGGAGGAAATAATAGTATCTTATTAGTTATTTTTTGGGGTTAATTTTATTTAGAAGAGAAAAATACTAAATAGAGATTATTTTATTTTTATTTTTGTGGGTCATATATTTTATTTTTGTTCTTTTCTTTATGTTTATTTCTTCAAAATAGATTCAAAAGAGTAACTAATATAATATTATTAATTACTTTTTATTTATCATAAAATTCCTTTTAGATTTCTGAAATGAATGAAAACTATGCTTGAAAAACATAAAAAAAAAAATCTTACGTATATTTGGTAAAAAGAAAAAAAAAACCCTAGCAATGGATATTTTCACTAAAACTCAAAAAGAATGATTTTGAGATAAGATTGTCGATCCTGAGAAAAGTTTTAAAGGTCCTGAAATAATTTGGCAAAAAAGAACTATGTAGGTTAATCATACAATCTTTTGATTGTATTTGTTTGGTATTTATCTTAATTTATTTTTTCTTTGTGTACATATTATAATACAAAGAAAAATGAATAACTAAAAAGCAAATATTAATTCAAATATCTAAGTTTAGTGTTTAAGTAAGTAAATAATGGTTTTAATTAAAAAAAACTTGGCCAAACTTGGCTAACCAAGTTGACTTGGAAAACTAGGCCAAAAATCTAATTTGGGTTCTTTTTCAAATTAAATTATTAAAGATATTAACTTGAAAAATATTAATTGACTTAATTATGTTTTTAGTGACTTGATTGATTTGTTAAACTCGGTTTAAACCTAGTTGAGTCAATACCAAGCAATTGTTTTTTTTAAAGAAAAAAATAAAATGATATATTTTAATAAAAAATAATTGAATTGGGTTGATTTGGTGACACAAAAACATTTTTCAAGTTATACTTTTAAAGATATTGACTTGATGAATCTTGATCGACTTGATTATGTTTTTAATGACTCGATTAACTCTGTTAAACTCAGTTTTAACCTAGTTGAGTCAATACCAGATAATTTTTTTAAAAGAAAAAAATAAAATGATATATTTTAATAAAAAATAATTGACATGGATTGATTCAATGAAATGAAAACCTAGGTCCTTTTTAGACCAATTTTTGATAGATTTGATAATTATGCTTTAAGAACATAAAAACTTTCTATATGATTCAAAGCTTGTCACTAACTCAAATGAATATTGATCAATTATAAATAACTTAAGAATCAGCTTACAAATAATTTAGACAATTAATAACATGGCTAGAATAGATTTAGAAGAAAACATATAACTAAAATAACTTTTTGTTTTAAAGGATGTGGTAATGATGATTTCTATGTTTTATTAAATATAATCAACACTTTCCTTAAATCTCTGAAACTAATGAATATTTTAAAATTCTTAATCTTCTTGAAAAACTAGATAGTGACTCTATTTTTCTTATTTTCCTTTTAAATTGTAAATGTGATATTGGAAGCGAGCGTCCAAGGCTAGGGTTTTATGAGTAGTGTTGGTTGCTAACCTTTTGTATATGTTTTGAGGCGTGAGACTTAGAAATGGGCTCGTGTCACCAATAACAAAACCATGAAGGTGGTAAAGCTCAAAACGGGCAATATACGACTAGTTGGACTGGGCTATTACTTTTGGTATCAGAGCCGAGGATGACTCATCTTAAAGTGGGGGGGATTGTGATATCCCACATCAAAAGCACGCGTCCAGAGTAAGGACATTATGAGTAGTGTTGGTTGCTAACATGTTGTACGTGTTTTGGGGCGTCAGTTCGGAAGTGGGCTCGCGTCACCAAAAACAAAACCGTGAGGATGGTAAGGCTCAAAACGGACAATATACGACATGTTGGGTCGAGCTATTACATTAAAGGTCTCATTATTTATGTCAAGTGCAACATGGATAATGGTAAGCCTATAAAGTGAAGAGAACCAATAATCTGGTAACCTTATAGACCTAGAAATCATTGTGTCAACGTTGAGTAGAATCAATGGCTCCTATTCCCACAAGCACATCCATCTTTCCCTCTTTTCCTTTAAATAAATGGATTGAACTTAGTGGGTGTTGCTGCTGCAAAAAAAAAAAAAAGTTTGTTATTGCCCTTGAAGATCTGGACCCGAATAGCTCATTTCTCTAAAACAAATGGATTGAATTTGGTGATGGTGATGGTGATGCTGCTTCTACTGCAAGAAAGAACGTTTACTATTATTCTTGGAGATCTAGATCTCACAAGCTCTTTTCTTTTAACTTTCTTCTCCAACTAACTCCTTTTTGCATTTACTAATGTCACCATGGACTCTCTTATTCTTGATTTCTTCTTTTCTTCTTTTCTCCCCTCTCTTGGTTTCTTTTATTTTCTCTTTCTCTCTTTGTGTTTCTTTATTACCATTCATTGTTTCTTTGTCTCTCTTTTATAAGCCTTAAGGAAAAACCTAGAACAACCTCCCTTTACAAAATCCTAAACTTTAGTTCTCCACCACTCATCCTAGTTGTTCAACTCTCCATATATTACATGCTAATCGAGAATATATGCTAATCGAGTTGTTTATGTCCTATATCTATAACAAGATTCAAGGCATGAAGGGAGTATCTTTTTTGTGGTTTAATTATAACATGTTTCGCACCTAATATCACGACTATCTTGAGAGAGAAAATTAATGACCTAGTTCCTTAATAGAAAAAGGTCTAGTTCTAATATTTTTAAAGAAGTTACAAGTTAGTATTATAATCATTAAAAATTCTAATTAGTCTTTAAAGATATGTGATAAGAGGTTACTTATGTTAGAATAAAAATATTATCAATTTTAAAATATTATATCTTAAGTAAGCTATATTATTGGTCTTATCTTAAATTGCTAATGGTCTATTATATTTAATTTACCAATGATCTATTTATGTGGTAACAACAAATCTAATGCATTGAGTTAAACCTTGATTGTTAATTCAAGTCTAATCATTATAAGATTTGGTCGATTTCATCATTTTTAATTACTTAATGAATTGGCATGTCTAAAATAAGTCATTTCATATCACAATCTAAGTCATGCATATGAATGACACATTACGCCTATATTGGGTTCATTAAATCCAATCTAGACCCAAGGAAAGATCTATGGAAAGAATCTTGAAAAGGTTCATCTAACCTATGATATTTTAATATTTTTTATTTTGATGTTAATGACTACTAGATAAAAAAAATTATTATTTAAAAATTAAAAACAATATACTAATTTTTTTAATCATTAAAGCGAGTCTATTATATCAAATATTACTGGCAACTAATAAAATATTTTTTTTACATGAATTTTTTTATAATATTTTTTTAAGCATTTTGAAGGCTTCTAACCTGTATAGTAAGTGAAGAATGGAATTTGACCTCCTTTGTCTAACATGTTTAAAGTATTTCACTCATATTTATTGAGTCTATATGAGTTACATTGAGTCAGCTCAATTCACTCACAAAAATAAAAATAATGTGTTGTGAAAATAATTATCAAATTTATTTATAAATAAAGAGAATAAAAATAATATGATAATTTTTTTAAATTCACAAACAATTAAAAATAATTTCACAAAGCACACAAATGATGTTTAAAAAAAACGTTATATATGTTTTTGTTTGTTTTTTATATGAAAACACTCCTGAAAAAATCAACATCTACACCCGCACGCACCTACAACTCACTGCACGACAAATCAAACCAACAATCTTCCCACGCATTCACACAATCATCCTCATCATCATCAACCCAACATCTCAACAATTCATCCAAACATCAACATTAATAATACATCTCAACAATTCACTAGAAGAAAAATTATCCAAAGTAGGAAATCGACCTTCCTGATGACTACAAATCGGCTGGAGGAGCTGTTGGAACCTCTGGAACAGCAGTGGAAGACTCTGTAAACAGTGGCGTTGCGTCAGCTCCTGTTTGAGCTTCTTTCCTACATCCAAATGGAAATGGGTCTCCTGCTGTGTATTAAGGACGAAATGATGTACCTTTAATCCAAACTTGGTGATATTTAAATATCGCTTAGACTGGCTTTGGAGTTGACAAAACAAAGATTCTGTTGCTGCCACCAGGAACATTCACTATCGAGGCTTTTCTGCTGATGCTGGTTCGGGGGTTTCCTGATCTTATTTTTAGATGAAATTCGACTGAGATGATTATGGATGTGTTTGAGATATTCTTGTGAGATTTGGTAGTCTTTAGATTAGGTTCGGGCAGATTTTGGAATTGGATAACCGAAGGTGTGCTGCTGCATCCCTGGAGACGTCTGCTGCTGGAGCTTCTGTTTTCACATCTGTGCAGGTCTGTTA